GCCAACGAAGTTGAGGACATAGAATCGGCCGTGTCGCTTTCCGACCAACTACCGGATGATGTGTCTGACGACGGCATTTCATCCACCTCTTCGTTGATTCTTCGTATTATTTCTTTAGCTTCTTTAAGTGCTTGGCGCCGTATTTTACGCCTATTATAAGGAGTAAACACAATTGTGAGAAAAAGGGGACAACGGAGAACACAAAGACAAGTGAAACAAGGCAAAGACAGGCAATGGCAGCGTTGACCGAGACACGGCGTGCGCAGTGCAGCGTGAGAAAGCAAAAAGTGGCACCGGCGAGAGCCGGAGGACTCTCGGCCGCCGAGGCTAATCCATAATCAAGTGCAAGTATGCGCTGCCGCTTGCGCCCTTCGCGTCGCCGGCGCATCCGACCCAGGAACCAATCAAATCACGAGCAGGCTAAAGACCCACTACCCCCCTAGAGTACGTTAGCTCGCGGCGAGCTCGCTTGCTATTAGGGAAGGAACGTGAAAGAACACTTTAAATCTGATGCACCAGTTAAACGCACAGATATGCTCTCCCTTTCGCTTGAATCAACGATATTGAGACAAAAATGTGTTTTGCAGATTCCGGTTCGTCAGAGACGATAGCTCACAATCTACAACCAAGTAGTTAACACTGACACGACGTGTCTAGAACCGGCTGATATGTCTTTTCTTAAAAATTACTGCGTTTTCTTATTTTTCGTATGATTCCTGAATAAACTCATGCTTCCATTTCGAAATATCCAATCAGTATTTCTGAAGAAATTAATAGGCTGATATTAACAATTGTCTTCCCCCCCCCCAAACTGTTTAGATCAGTTTGGCCAGTGTTTTGACAACATCTCAGTCAGTCAGTCAGTGTATTTGAGGGAAATAGGCTTACGCCTTTGAACTCCCTATTTGAACATTAAAAAAATCGAGAAACAAGCAAAAATGTGAAGAAATTGCAGCATTAAGTGAATGCATACATTGATTCACATATGTCACTAGTCACATGGCTAAAAAGTCACATAGTCCGCTTGTTGCTGCAGCATATATCTGTCAAGGCGACATTTAAATGCCTCCACAGATTGAGATATTACAACCGTCTCGGGCAGGTTATTCCACGGTTCCACGACACGGTTGGAGAAGAAATATTTTCTCACAGTCAGTCTACCCTGTGGCACACGTAGCTTGAAGGGATGTCCCCGGAGGTGAGTTGTAGTGGCGAGTTGGAAAAGTCATCGCGCCGAAGGGCACAATCCAAGCCGCGCAAGATGCGGAAAGTTTGTATCATGTCTCCGCGCAACTGCCTATAACTCAGAGGATAGAGATTAAGGTTATTTAAGCGGATCTCGTATGGCAGTGCACTTTGACCTCTTATTAATTTTGTTGCTCGTCTCTGCACCCTTTCGAGCAGATCGTAATCCTGATGCGTCCACGGTCTCCAGGCCTGAATTGCATATTCAAGATGGGGCCTTATAAACGTGCCGAAGACTTTGGTGAAGCAGTCTTCATCAAAAACTACGAATGCACGCTTGATGGCATATAGCATTGAGGTTGCGGCCTTGGCCGCCTTACAGCATTGTGTAGAAGGCTTAAGGCTGTCTGCAACCCAAACTCCGAGATCTTTCTGAGTTTCTACTTCTCGGAGTGGCGTTCCGTTCAGATGGTATTGCCGCGTACTAGGGGTCTGATTTCCGAGGCGCAG